ACTAGAGCACCTCAACGTCATCGTTCTCAGCCACTACATTTGTTCACTGATTGGGCAGGTAAAAAATTGACCGGAGAAAACCAAAGGATACACCACAATCCCAGACAAAGTACAAGTACGTAGCGGAAGTACGTAGGTGGGCGGAGCCAGGCTAGAATTATTATACCCAACATGAGGCATACCTGTCAACACTCCCGTTTTTCCCGGGTTTCTCCCGTTTTTTTAGCCCTATCTCCCGACCCCTCTCGGTTTGTTATTTCTTCCTGGAAACTCCCGTAATTTGCATGGCCCAAACTCCTTTGAATAATTCAAATTCCTATGAATCACACTCCTATGAATAATCGGACTAATATGTTTGTCTAATGTTGACCAGTTGCCAGATCTTGTATTTAAGGAATTTTGTTCACACAATCCACACAACATATGCAATTTCAACCCGTTTGTCATCTCAATCTGGCAACATGTACCCCAGTTGCACAGTCGCGGAAAGCTCAACCCGAAAGCGAGCTCTGCTCTTATATTGTCTTAGTTTGGTTAAGGTATTCATAATAAATAATAATAATAAAGCAAGACACCTTGTTGAAATATGTGAGATGTGTGGTTTATATAAACTGCAACATTAAAGTATAAATTAAAATTATTTTGACAGATGTGAAGGGGGAGGAGAATTTAAACTTGCGTCACGTTTAGTCAATAAAACTCTTCTGCATAGGATACAACAGTGTTTCCTCGACTTATCTGGAAACCTCCTCACTCCTCGATCCTCGCATCCTTGATCCTCGACTCCTTGATCCTCGCCTCCTTCATCCTTGACTCCTTGATCCTCGCCTCCTCAACTACTTGATCCTCGCCTCCTTGATCCTCGTCTCCTCGATCCTTGCCTCCTTGATCCTCGCTTCCTCGCCTCCTTGATCCTTGTCTCCTTCATCCTTGCCTCCTTGATCCTCGCTTCCTTGACTCCTTGATCCTCGCCTCCTTGATCCTCGCCGCCTTCATCCTTGCCTCCTTGATTCTCGCTTCCTTGACTCCTTGATCCTCGCCTCCTCAACTACTTGATCCTCGCCTCCTTGATCCTCGTCTCCTCTATCCTTGCCTCCTTGATCCTCGCTTCCTTGACTCCTTGATCCTCGCCTCCTCGATCCTCGTCTCCTCGATCCTCGACTCCTTGATCCTCGACTCCTTGATCTTCGCTTCCTCGATCCTCGCCTTCTCGATCTTCACCTCCTCGATCCTTGACTCCTCGATCCTCACCTCCTCAATCCTCGCCTCCTCGATCCTCACCTCCTCAATCCTCGCCTCCTCGACTCCTTTATCCTCGCCTCCTTCATCCTTGACTCCTTGATCCTCGCTTCCTCAACTCCTTGATCCTCGCCTCCTTGACTCCTTGATCCTCGTCTCCTCGATCCTCGTCTCCTCGATCCTCGCATCCTTGATCCTCGCCTCCTTGATCTTCGCTTCCTCGATCCTCATCTCCTTGATCCTCACCTCCTCGATCCTTGACTCCTCGATCCTCACCTCCTCAATCCTCGCCTCCTCGATCCTCGACTCCTTTATCCTCGCCTCCTTCATCCTTGACTCCTTGATCCTCGCCTCCTCAACTACTTGATCCTCGCCTCCTTGATCCTCGTCTCCTCGATCCTCGCCTCCTTGATCCTCGTCTCCTCGATCCTTGCCTCCTTGATCCTCGCTTCCTCGCCTCCTTGATCCTCGTCTCCTTCATCCTTGCCTCCTTGATCCTCGCTTCCTTGACTCCTTGATCCTCGCCTCCTTGATCCTCGCCGCCTTCATCCTTGCCTCCTTGATTCTCGCTTCCTTGACTCCTTGATCCTCGCCTCCTCAACTACTTGATCCTTGCCTCCTTGATCCTCGTCTCCTCTATCCTTGCCTCCTTGATCCTCGCTTCCTTGACTCCTTGATCCTCGCCTCCTCGATCCTCGTCTCCTCGATCCTCGACTCCTCGGTCCTTGCCTCCTTGATCCTCGCTTCCTCGCCTCCTTGATTCTCACCTCCTTGATCCTCGCCTCCTCGATCCTCACCTCCTCGACTCTTTGATCCTCGCCTCCTTGATCCTCATCTCCTCGATCCTCGCCTCCTCACGGTGCAATTAGAGATATTCCTTCAAGATGTCTGAGCTCGATTGGTTTCCAGGTCATAGGATGGAGGTCGGAAGAGCGAGGAAAGGAAGAGGGATATTGAGGAGCACCCCTGGTCCTGCGGGACGTGTCCCTATTGTGTCAGCTAATGCGGCGTTGAGTTCCCTCGAAAGGGAAACATGCTCAGTAACCATAACAAAAGAAACAGGAAATAATAGAGAAAAACTTAAAGTTCTTGAAAACAGTAGCAGCTCCTGGCCATAAGTTTAGATAGGGCAGATTCTGGGTCTTAGCGCTAGATTATGATAACATTTTGTAAACTTTATATCCTAATCGCTGAACACATCAGACACACTTTTTGCAGAAAGTTGTGTTATTCAGCCTGAGGGTGGCACTCTAATGATGATTGACAGACTTTAGTATACACAAGAAATGCATGGAATATTTTTGTTTCTAATCTCAGAATACACTGAACAAAAAACAACAGAACTACTGTATCTAAAAGCTATTCAAATGAGCACACTAGAACATCATTACACTGCAGTAATTTGGCCAGTTGATAATATGTAAAAAAAAAATATATATATGTTTTTCGTAAAATATTAACCTAAAATATTTTGATTCAGTTCAGGTTAACCCCTATAATGCCTACTGTACACATTTGATACACAAATTTTCCAAGGCCTCAGTAGGACTAGAAGGTCTACTATAATTCAGACTGTTTTATCAAGTTAAATCTTTTAGTATAATTGTACTAACATCCTCCTTCTGTTCACGAGATCTGCACTGATTTTTATCAAGTAAACATAAGAGTCACTTTGATATTGTTAGAAATATTTCAAGATGAACACTTACTGGACTGAAGCTGCTCCGGTTTCCCTGATTATCCAAACATTATATATTAAAGTATCAAATATGATCATCAGGCTTTTGAGGAAGGTGTATTTGTTCATCTCTCAATAATCATTGCATTTATGTTTAAAAACTACAGAGCTTCGATCATAAAACTAAGCTTTTAAATGTCATCTTACATCTTATTGGCAGGTATTGATATTTACAGTATATCATGTACTGTACGTGCTAGCTATACTGTTATAAAGATCTTACTGATTTCATCTTACATTTTGGCCATATGAATATCAGCATCTGCAGCAATTTTATTGGCATTTTATTGTTGATGAGCATAAAATCAATAATTTGGCTCCAAAATGTTTTTGTTTTTTGCATGTGACTCCATATGACACTCACAGCACGGCCGTCATTAATGCGCCTCTTCAGGCCATGAGTGAGCTTTACCTGCTCGACTTCCACTAGCTGGCCACAGTTACACTACATTATGAACGCTGCCATCTAGTGTATGAATATTAGAAGGACAATGTCATCTCTAATGAACACATAATGTTTACCACCACAACTTTTTTAATCCCCTTCCAGTACATAAGGAAAAGCTGAGACTATTTGAGTGCACATGATGTGAGAAATCATCTTAACTTACATTGGAATCAATAAGAAAATCTCATTCATATCTTTTGGGATAGGATGCATATTGTGAAAGCACATGTCTGATTTGTGTATTTCTTTGGTGTATACTATATTATAATTAGGAAAATGCTGGCTGATCTTGAGCAACGGCTTATTTTTCCACCTGAGATCGCCACAACTAACTTACGAGCAGATATTGTTTTGTGGTCTGGATTGTTCAGCTGATAGAGCTAACAGTGCCGTGGGAGGATGCGGTAGATGAGGCGTATGAGAGGAAGAAACTGTGGTGTGCTCATCTGGCCACTGAAGCAGTGCAGTGAGGATGGAGAGTCCAGGTTTATCCAGTGAGAGTGGGCTGTCGAGGTTTTGTGGCACACTCTACAACCCGGTTCCTCAGAGACGTCGGATTCAGTGGCCAAGAGTTGCGTCGCACAGTAACAAACCCGAATCCTCTGTGTGCTCTGTTTGGCATCCCACATGGCAGCACTCTATCAGCTGACACTCGTTGGCCTTCCCTGCCTGCTAGATGCTTGATCTTACTTAACTGGAAGCAGGCCCTGCCTCCATCTTATGACAGATGGATTACGGAAGTCCTATATAATCTTAAACTTGAGAGGCTAAGATTTTCACTTGAGGCTCCCTGAAGAGATTCGATAAAACTTGGAACCCGTTGCTTTCCATCATAGATTCCCTTGACATTACACCTGAGCAGTGAATTGTTCATGTCCGCTGGATCTACAGTGTAATTAAGCCCTTTCCCAAGAGTTTTTTTTTTTTTACATATTTTTTTAAAAAATAATTTTCTTTACTTATTTTTTTGTTTATTTATTATTACCTTTTTTTGTATTACTATTATTTTATGTCACTCAGGTGGGGTGGGGTGGGGTGGGTTGGGAACAAAAAAAATGTGAGCACTGTTTCATATTTATGTTTAACACTGTGTATATTTTGTACATTTGGTGTTCAATAAAATATACTTAAAAAAAAAAAGATCAAAAACAACTCTTTCCCATTACCCACCATTACCCAATAAAGTAGAGAGAATTTTTTTTTTTTTTTTTTTAAAAGACATCAGCATGAAGTTTTAATATCTACTACTCTCATGTAATGGAAATCATTTTAATTATAATCTATAATACAATGCTTGTGTAGGCTTTTTTTTTAAAGTAAGCTACTGTTTGCCTCCGTTAACCTTATCTGTAGCCTACACACTGATTTCACAAATGAGGCTGTACAGTATTCTAGCCTGTTTACTAATACGACTCTAGAGTATACAGTCATTTATGTAAAACACCCGTTAAAGTTATTTAGTCATCCCCCTCCTCGACCCACTCACTCAGACACACGCTCCGGTCTCCTCCCCCCGCCCACCCGCGCGCGTTACGCACCAGAGTTTCCGTGTGTCCCGCGTCCGTGGGCAGCGCGTGCTGGACTATAAACGCGTCCGGTGCGCGTCTCTCCTCAGTCGCAGTCGAGCACGAGCAGCGCGAGCACCAGAGCACCAGAGCTGGCCGGAAGAGCAGATAGCAGCACGCGCACACTAACTCGCTCTCGGTCTGGATTTTGGGATGGAAACTCGTGCGACTACGCGGAGCGCTCGCGCCTCCAACACTCTCACCTTCAAGAGTAAGTCACTTCTGTGCTGTTACTGTCAGCTAATGTTTAATGGTCATGCATCATTTTATTGGATGCATGACAGACATTTATTTTATAGCCTACAACTTGTATTTTTTGGTCACGTTTTGAACCTTAAAAGCTGAAAACACAAATTATTATCAATTTTTTTATGTTTGATAGATGCATATTTAAAGACATTCAATTGCATATCTAACTTTACAGACTATTGTGTGTTTTACGTTACAAATAAATTGGTCACACTTTACAATAAGGTTCATTAGTTAACTACTTCAACTACGTCACTACGTCAACTAGTTAAGTAAAAATTAATTCTTAGATCATGTTAACTAATTAGTTTTACATGATCTAAGAATTAATTTTTATACAGCATTTATTAATCTTAATATTAATTTCAACATTAACTAATACGTTATTAAAAATGCACTGTGAACTAACATGAACAATGAACAGCTGTTTTTTTTATTAACTATCATTAAAAAAATATTAATAATTACTCTAACAAATGTATTGTTCATTGTTAGTTTATGTTAGTTAATACATTAATGTGAACTAATGAACCTTATTGTACAGTGTTACCAATACATGTAATATAAATAAATTAAATCAATCAATATTTTGTAAATTTTGTAATAATATTTTATAAAACAATTTATCAGAATTCATACATAAACACACACACACACACATGTATATACATTGTAGAGTAAAAACACATTTTAATGAACACGTTTGATGCAATCAGGATACATTTAGAATATTAATAATTAGTTTACAATGGGAAAATTATAAACTAACTGATAAAAAAGCAGATATGCACAAATGGTACACAGTTAAATTTTCCACCTTAGTGCCGTGCGGTGACGTACACCTCGTTCTAGAAGAGACGTGGAGTGACCAGGTCATGGTTCAACTAATAGGAAAATCTTGTGCTGGTCACATGAATGCACTCTGTAATAATTAATTCACGGTGTGCGTGTCTTTAAGCGCCATGTTATTGTGTAGAGTTACCGGACACCGTGAGCTCCGCTCTTAAATATTCATGAGCTGCAGTAATTGAATTGGGTTCGGTTTCACAAACCTGAAGTGAATCCAAGCATTTTGTCCTGTCATGTCCCGGATGGACAGAACGGCTTTCCTCAAGCAGGACAGATCTGGATATCACATTTTAACCGAGCAATGATACCTCAAATAGCATCTGTCACGTCATGTTTAATCCAGCATGACCGTGTGTTTCTTCATGTGTGCATCCCTCCAGATCTTTCAGGAACCGGAGCTGATGTTCAGTGTGTGCTCTTGTCTCTCCACAGGTGGTTTGTCTCTGTGGTTGGTGGTATGGCTGTTGGCATGTCGCTGTGCACCGGGCCAGGCGTGTCCCAGGCTGTGTGTGTGCTACCATACGCCCATGACTGTGAGCTGTCAGTCTCAGAACTACACCGCGGTTCCCACCGGCGTGCCCTACGACTCCCAGCGCGTCTTCTTGCAGAACAACCGTATCGCCGAGCTCAGAGCCGACTCTTTTGGCTTCGAAACACAGGTGAGTGTTCAATTCTGATTGGTCAATATCTGTGTTTTATTCACGACAACGCACGGCTTTGACCGCTCCACCCAACGGCTCTGTGCATCACTACACAACCACTCTTGCAAACACATGGTTGATCTCATTGAAGCTTATAGAGTAGAGTATGGTGAGCGAGTGTACCTGCATTTACAGTAGATGTAGGTCCGTCCAATATTCCAAATGTCCGCTGCGATGTCTTGTCCTTAGTTTAGCATTTTTATACCCGAGGTTAGTGCTGTGTGGTGAATAATCGTGACTCGAATAAAGACTTATTGGCCTTAGCCTCGAGTGCTTACGTAAACTTCATAGGGTTTTTTTCTGAAGATATGAGCAGAGATTAATCTTTGCCTTCTGAATCCGCAGGTCCTCTGGCTGTACTCCAATAACATCACATGGATCGAAGCAGGGGCCTTCAGCAATCTGCGTGTCCTGGAGGAACTGGATCTGAGCGACAACCCTTCCCTGCGGCGGCTGGACGGCGGGGCGTTCCGGGGCCTGGAGCGCCTGCAGAGCCTCCACATGCACCGCTGCCACCTGAGCGAGCTGCCCGCCGACCTGTTCCTCAAGCTCTACAGCCTGCAGTTCCTCTACCTGCAGGAGAACCAGCTGACGCACCTCCCCGACGGACTCTTCTCCGACCTGGTCAACCTCACACACCTGTTCCTGCACGGCAACCGCATCCGCGTCCTCTCGGAGAACGCCTTCCGTGGCCTGGTGAATCTGGACCGGCTGCTGCTGCACGACAACCGCATCCGGCAGGTCCACCGACGGGCCTTCCGCGACCTGGGCCGGCTGACCATCCTCTATCTCTTCAACAACGCTCTGCAGGAGCTGCCGGGTCAGGTGTTGAAGGACACGTCCTCGGTGCAGTTCCTCAGGCTCAACGCCAACCCCTGGACCTGCGGATGTGAAGCCAGGTCGCTCTGGGAGTGGTTCCGCAAAGCTCGGATCTCCAGCTCAGACGTGACCTGCTCTTCGCCCGCCCCGAGGAAAGGCCAGGACCTGAGGTTCCTGCGGGAGATGGACTTCGCGCTCTGCCCGTTGCCTGACCCAGGATCCATGGCGGGCACTACAACCACCACCTTCAGCACCAAGACTCGCTGGTGGATCTCGAAGAACAAGCCGGCCTCGTCGTCCAAGAGCTACTTTCACAAGAGCAGCGAGACCCAGAAGGCCTTTCCAGTCAAGCATCCCTCATCTTCATCCCCCTCCTTCTCCTCCAAGTATGACCTCACCGTGGAGGAGGACGCTCTACCCAAGCTGGAGCCCGAAGAGTACTGGGCAAACTACGGCAACGAGGACGCCGCCTCAGTCTCCTGTTTCGAGCTCGAGTGCCCACCCGGGTACGACTCTCCCGTTCTCCCGTCTTCCTCCTCGGCTTCGCTTCTGCCCTTCCTCTCGCTCACCGCGCTGACTCTCTCTTTCCATCTGCTCTTCGGCTGAGCTTTCCTTCTCCTCCTCTTCCTCCTTTGTTACGCTCCACTACCTTTCTCCTGCGATCGGCTTATGCTGATTAATGCATAGAAGCAGCCATGCAGAAAAGGGTGACAAGACTGAACACAACAACACACACAGTAGACCAGAGACGGGGTCCTGCATGCATGCGGCATTACTCGCGTCACGTCCGTCTCTGGAATAAGAGAACACAGGGCAAGGAGACGAGTAAAGAGGGATATAGGGAGTCATGTGGAAAATGAACTAGAGGGAAGTCTCTAGACGGAGAGGAAAACTCTCACACCAGCAAATGTCAATTATCAATGAAAATCATCTCATCGTGTAAATAGGATCATGCACACACTCTGCTATCAGTAGATCTCTTCTCTTCTGAATGATGGTTGGGTACCACTCCAGATACAGCATCATAGCCAATGGCCATAAAAACTATTCAAATTACTTAAGCTTCACTTAAAATGACACAATTATACAATTATAAAATGATAATTGGACACATTTTGATATTTCATTATATAATGCGCTGATATTTTTTAGGTGAATATTTTGGATCTTTTTGGGGCCATTGTAAATGATATGGTGAAAAGATGAGCTAACGGAAGAATGGAGAGTCTTCCACGTGTTAAAACTGTGTCAAGTACTTTAGTTGTGTTAGTTAATCTGAGGCACCTCGGCTATCAGGTGAAGTTAGAGCAGGAAGTCAATGTTTAATTCACCCTGAAGAAGTCAGGAACCACTCGAGGTGAGAGAGCTGTGTTTCCTCTGTGTGTGAGATATCTCTTTCCGTGAGCACGTGTTCAGCTGTTTACAGAACAACATGTCAAACTTTGTCTTAAACTTGTCAATAAAAATCAATGAATAAATATTCATTATCTTTGCCATATTATTGAGTGCCAACACATTGCTGTATTTGACCTGTTTGTTTGTGTGTGTGTGTGTGTGTGTGTGCTGTGCGCGGGTGTGTTCAAGCAAGATGATGATGGAGAATTAATCAATCTGAATTTTAAATCTTTCCCCATCGTTTAATTAGCAAAATTCAAAGATTGTTACACACACACAAACACAAACAAAATGTAAATCCTAAGTACCCACATCCCGCACACGTGGAAAGATGATCTGGCCCACATGCGGCGTGGAATGACGGACCGCTCCCGTATGCCAGATCTGGGCCACAAGCAGGCCATAGCAACCAAAAATAATCCAGAACTGGACCTTATCTGAGCCACAAAATCTGTGTATATTAAATATGGAGTCATCTCAGCCTTAATAAGCCTGTTAACTAACAGAATCACAGGAAAAGAGACGAGTACAAACACAAGAACTACAACTGGCTTAGATGAGGAAATCCCCTGAAGATAAAAGAAGACATTAAATCCCTCAAGATCTCAGCAGAGGAGGATTAAACAACTCCACAAACAGTAGGGATGGGCGATACCAGTTATTTTCTTTTCGATCCGATACCAAGTACTTTCAGGACAAGTATCGCCGATACCGATACCGATACAAGAGCAATAAATCCTCTGTCTTCTACAACTGAGATTGGCTGGAGGTCCCTTGCAATCATCTCTCCTATGCCTCTTGTAATTTCTGATGCTCTCTGCGAGTCATCTATAAAATATAATCCATATATTTTATTTTTTAAAGCTGTTACAGGCATTAAGAATTTATAATGATAGTAAATTACTCCTGTATTACTTGACACTTAAACTATGTCATTTGTTTAATCATTTTTTTAAATGATAAAAATAATATATCAATTATTTAATTAAGAATATCCACCAGATAGCCTATCAAGTAACAGAAATAGATATAGCTAATGAAAAATGTTTAAAGCAAAATATCCAGTTTAATATTCTGCTCCACATAAAATTCTTCAATATCTTCATATCCGAAACAGTAGGCCTATGTATTATACAAAGTAGCCTATAGCTATAGTTCACTTTGAAATTAATTTTTGATATGTTTTATCTTACCTCAAGGGCACCCAAGATGTAGGTGTCTTTGTTTCCACAGCATTTTCAATTTTGACATTTTTCAGTCAAACCGTTGTTGTCTATCAGTCATACACTGGAGGCTAAGGGGGTCCACCAAAGAGCAGCACAGAGAAGTCCAAATTAAACATGATTTAATGACTCGTAAATGTAAGTACACATTGATGGCCTAAGACACGAAACGAGCGGTTTGTGTGAGAAAACCAACAGTATTTATAACGTTTTTACCTCTTGTAATCACAGCCACGACAAAATGATCTGACGGCACGGGCGCTTCGGTCTGGAAGTGATCGCTTGCGCGCCGACGTCACTCTTTGTTTATACAGAGATTTCGGAGGTTTTACCTTTCACTAAACATATTTTGATATACGGGAAACCGCAATGGAAGATGATTTCGGTATATCTAAATATGTTTAGTAAAAGGTAAAACTTCCGAAATCTCCGTGTAAATATTGAGTGACGTCACACGCAAGCGATCACTTCCGGCGTAACATTGAACTGATTCAGTTCGGTTCAGTTGGACATTGAACAACTGATTCAGATCACTGTGATTACACGAGGTAAAACGATATAAATACTGTTGGTTTTCTCACACAAACCGCTCGTTTCGTGTCTTAGGCCATCAATGTGTACTTACATTTACGAGTCATTAAATCATGTTTAATTTGGACTTCTCTGTGCATGCTTTTTGGCCTTAGCCTCCAGTGTATGACTGATAGACAACAACGGTTTGACTGAAAAATGGCAAAATTGAAAATACCGTGGAAACAAAGACACCTACATCTTGGATGCCCTTGAGGTAAGATAAAACATATCAAAAATTATTTTCAAAGTCAACTATCCCTTTAACTTTTTGTATTCAAATAATCTAACAACCACTTGATACCTGGATAACGTCGTTGACCTCTCTGAAAGCATTCTGCTAATGAACTCTGCCTCGAACCAGAAGATGGGGGTCGTGTCTGTGTTACCTCCTCTGCTCGCTTCAGCTGCACTTCGTCGTGTCTGTAGGGTGTTTTGCTTTAAGATGTTTTGTCAAATTTGTGGTATTTCCACAGTGGCATGTGTTTTTTTTTTTACAAATGTCACACGAGGCTTAATCAGTATTTACTGGAGTGAAATAACTCCAAATTACACTTCTTTTTCTTTCACTCATCGCAGCCATGCACTCTAACGAACACCTTTCTTAAACCTGACTGACTGAGCGTGCTCCTGTGCTGGACTTGTGAGTGAGTGTTTGAGCGCCGCGGCACGCACGGTGATACAGCGGAAGGAGACGTAACGTGAGCGAACGCGGTGATACAGCGGAAGAAGATATAGTTCCCATTGACGCTATGATTTGAGTGTATTTGTACAATACCCAGACAGCAAACTAACATTGAATCAACGTGGAAACGACGTCTCTCATGACATTGAAACAACGTTGATTTTGCTCATCGAATTAACGTTGAACCAACGTCAGACGCGGCATTCTTCAAAGCTAAATGAAATCGAAAATTGGTTTGCTTTCATAACGTTGAAACAACGCGTTGATTTCAAGTTGATTTTCCGTTAGTTTTGAAAGAATGACGCGTCTGACGTTGGTTCAACGTTAATTCGATGAGCAAAACAATGTCAGATCAACGTTGTTTCTATGTCATATTTCCACGTTGATTCAATGTCAGTTTGCTATCTGGGTACGGGGTACTACTCATTTTAAAAATGAAAAAAAAAACGTACACAAAAAAACAGATAGTATCGATACTTGTATGTGAGAATCGATCCTTTCGATACAAAAGCAGTATCGAAAATATCGATACTTAAGGATCGATCCGCCCATCCCTAACAAACAGCATTACCAGCTTCACTTATTCACAACCAGACTGACTTGATTTCTGTCAGACGTCTATAAATTATTTTTGAGAATTAACATCTAATGTGTTTCATTAGAAGTCACCACAACAGTGATCAGTGTTTCCATTAGTTGGACTCTTAATTACATCTTTTGACTTTTTGGCCACTGTGACTGTAATAGTCAAACACATTTGAAGCGGCAAAGAAAGCTAAAGTGAAACGAGATCAGGTGATGATGGTTACCTGTTGATTACTTTATAATCATCATGACGTAGACTGATTCACTAGTCTTCTGAATCTAACGATTGTGTTGTTCACATCACAAACCCTGTGTTACTGAAGCATGAGATCCAGCAATATTATATCAATCTTTTAGGAGATTTAAACATGAGCACAAAAAGTTCAACAATCAGCACATCAATCCACTTGTGCCAAATGTGGGATGGATCTGGGACGTCGAAAGGTTGCTATGTGGGTGGAGTATTCAGTAACTGTAGATGCCAGTATGCATGTGAGAACATGTTTTAGTTAAATAATAAACACAAACTAACATTGATTTATCACTTGATACACACGTTTTTCTATTATCTAGAATTTTTCACCTTATATGTCATTGATAACCCCCCTCAACAAAACAAGTATAGCTACACCAAACCCCTGGATTTAAAGTGAATTGCTCAGAGTTTGCTCTTTCACAGCTCATTTAATGTCATGGACTTGATGTTTAATTTAGCTAACAGCTTTATTTCTCCAACAAGTCCTTAGAAGTCAAGAATGCTTTCACAATACATATTGTTTCAAAGCAGCTTTCAGTGAAAACAGTAAATGAATGCAAGAGTTTGTTTCTGCTGTCCAGCAGATCTAGACAGGGGCGAAAATTTCATCAAAATGTTGGGGGGGACAATAAACATAACAATTCTCAAGAGCAAATTTTGAAGGGGACACCAATAATACAGGCAAAAAAAATACAGAGGAAAGCCTTACTACTATTATTAGTGTAGCATGGAGACCATTTCATTATACTTCTTAAAATTTCTTTCTGGTTTAAGCCAGCGGCGAATCTGTTTACATACTCTCCTCACGCAGCGCAGCGATTTCATTTCATTCATTGACTAATTCTTTAACTATATTAAATGATATAAACCAACTAAATCACAGTAAAAGCGTTAGAATCTAAATGCACAGCGCACCCGGACTTTCTCATCAGTGTATGGCCAGCAATATTGTAATGTTTAATGACATGAAGTGTCTGTTATTATTGTTATGTACAATTAAATACAATCATTGCTGAGTCTGCGGTCTGAAAACTTTACCTCAGAGCATCCGTTAACTGAATGAATTGAGAATCTCACCTGAAAAATCCAATAACATCAGCAATTGTCATTCAAGCAGCTGATTTGTAAATGAATGCAAAACTAAATGTATATTGCAGCATAGGGCGAAGTCAGGATTCGTCAGCACCGATTTGAGACAAAAATAATTTAAATTGTATATAAAACTATGTAAATGGCGCTCTGTGGCGCAGCAGGGTTTTGAACACGGTCCTGAGCCGTTGCTGGGCGCCGCGGACAGACGCCGAACGGCGATGCGCCGCTACCCTTCTCGTCCGGTGTGCGACCAACTTTACTGGAGTTCCACAACTATTCAAACACTATGTTTTTCTCTCCCGCCACCGGAATGTGTGTGTCTGAGGTAAAAGGGACGGAGGCGGTGGACCAACGCACTGTGAGGCAAGGGAGGGGGGTCTCAAAATGTTTAGAATGCTTTTTTCGTAATTGCCCCGTTTGCATTTGTGTTATTTTATTTCTCAATTATTTTAAGAATATATCATTACATTATTTACAATACACATATTTTAATGGTTTTTTAATGGTTTTTTTGGGGGGGACAACCCTCAGATAGGGGGGGGGGGGGGGGGGGTCCTGACCCCCCGACCCCCCCGCGATTTCCGCCTATGGATCTAGAATAAAGTCCTCGTCCAGCATGAGTAAGTTCATCTTTGATTCATTACCGTAATAAAAATCATTAGTTATTAATCTAGGGGTCGTTTACCCGACACCGCTTTCAACAATTGAGAAAGAACTGAAATAATAATTCAATGATTATATTGAAATGTTTGACCATCACAAGGAGACACTTTGGAGACACTAGAGCTTGGGCAAAGTCTCCATGTATTCTCATCTAACTCCAGTCTATGTGTAACAGTGGAGGTCATAATGAGATCTTTCCTATGGCCATATGTGTGCGTATAAACTTTCGAAATAAATCAACCGGAAGTTTGTTCGCCGAAGACGCGCTTGCTCCGTTCTCCCACTGTGTGCTGTTTGTTCTAGGCTTTCTGTTCTGCATTGTTCTGCTGTCTTGTGTGTCAATCACTTGCGTTCAGGCATTCATGAGCCAGCCATTCATTCATCTCTCGTTTCCTAAATCTCATCATCCCCTCACACACTCCCTCCAGATGGTTCTGTTTGCATGGACGTGTGTTGGCGTAGCTGTGACGTGCATCATCAGTCGTGTGTCATGCCTGAGAGAGTACAAGTGTGTGCATGAGTGTAAATGCTCCATCTGCAAGATCATTAGCACGATTCATTTAGGGAGCGAACAGAATGTGGGGAGAGACTAAAAAAAGATGAAGTTTGAACCACAAATAACATTATGTTACTGGAGACAAGGGCATATTGGACTAACAAACCATTCTACAATATTAGAGAATATATCAGAAGGAGTGTACACTAATGATTGTGTGTCAGATATAGTGTACACTTGTGGATATCAAGATATAGTGTACACAAGTGGATATGTATCACATTAGGTGTACATGACTGAATGCTTAAGTTCAGACAGAGTGTACACTAGAGTATATATATATATATATATATATATATATATAAATCATCAGGAGTTTACACAAGTGTATATACTGTATATCATCAGGAGTTTACACTAGTGTATATACTGTATATCATCAGGAGTTTACACAAGTGTATATATATATATCATCAGGAGTTTACACTAGTGTATATATATATATCATCAGGAGTTTACACTAGTGTATATATATATATCATCAGGAGTTTACACTAGTGTATATATATAAATCATCAGGAGTTTACACAAGTGTATATATATCATCATCAGGAGTGTATAGCTTGTGAGCTTGTGTGAGAAGCGTGGGGGTCTGAACCCTTTCCCTCTTTATCCCCACCAAAGTTCTGCTCTGGACTAAAAATACACACGCCAGACGGCACCAGAGAGGAACACACAGTGTGTGAGTGTGTGTGTGTGTGTGTGTGTGAGGGACAGTTGGAATGAAGGTGTCTGGAAACATCATTCAGAAAAACTCTGAAAATAACTAGCGTGAATTCAGCAGATGTAATGGCTTGTTTTTGGTGGTTTGCATCAGGTGTCCATCCCACATCACACACACTCATTCATCACTCTCTCCAGACGAGTGTTAATCTGTTAATCATGAGTGTTAATCTGCTCTGTGTTTAATCATGTATCTCATACTGATTAAATCAAATCTCTGTTTTTCTGTCCAACTCTATTTTTGACTGAAAAGTGTATTCAGGCTTTGGCTGAGATCTGGCACAGGAATCTCTGTGTTCAAACACACAGACACACTCTCACTCAATCTCTCTCTCTCTCTCTCTCTCTCTCTCTCTCGTGCGCATGCGCGTGTTTGGTGTGGTGAGGTGTGAGAGGGAAGTTTGATTGATCTTTAAGCTTTTTTCTTTTTTTCCTACACTTTATGACTTTTTTCTCACCTTAGTCATTTATTAATGTGTAAAGTAAACTGATCAGAACAGTTGCTTTTCGTAGCCAGTATTTGCATCCATTTGTGGAATTTAAACATGGCATCACCTCTCAATGTGGGAACGCCAGTTTGTTCCATTGGAAATGGATGCAAGTGCTTTCCTGATCAAGTTTGCACGGTGGAAGATGTTCTTATGGCCATGGGAAATGTTGGTGGCCATGAAAAGATAATTTCGGCGTCTAGAATGAACAAGGCCGTTGTTGTGTTTTTGGAGTTAGTGAACGTGCTCGTGGAGACTGGGATTGAGATATCGGACACTTTTGTGCAGGTGACACCTTTGCGCTCTCCTGCGACGCGCGTCATAATCTCGAACGCGCCTCCGTTCATAGCAAATGATGCGATCTTAAAAGAACTAAATCGCTTTGGAAAATTTTCGAGTGGAATTAAAACTGTTCCGCTCGGCTGTAAGAATAAAGAGCTGAAGCACGTGACGTCCTTTCGGAGACAGGTTTTCATGTTTTTGAACGCACCGACGAAGTATTTGGAAATTTCCTTTCGTGTACAACACGGTGAAAGTTCTTACATGATCTTTGCAACCACGGAAAGTATGCGGTGTTTTGAATGTGGAGACTTAGGTCACAAGAAATTACTTTGTCCTCACAAAAAGCAAAATGAGGAGACAACTGTTGAGACTGTAAATAAGGAAATGACTAATCACTCGGTTTGCGAAAAAACTAGCGAAAAAAGACCTACATTGGTTAAAGAAACGAGTGTGCAACCTAAGAATAAAAAACTAAGATTACAAACCGAAAATCAAATTGATGAGACTGAGGATGAAAGCCCAACTATCAGTGGATGTGTGGATCAACCCCTAGAGAACACACCGGCTTTAGAAGTGCATGAGTCTGACAAGGAGTCAGTGTCAAGACCAGAGGTGAGTGAACCTTCTTTGCCGATAGTGCTGGGTGTTTCAGAAGCAGATCACAGTCTTACCTGTTGCAATGATATGGAAATTGAAAAGGCAAGTGGAAGTGGTTTACAGTTTGTTGAGATGGAGGATAACGTGTGTGTTGATGAATCAAGATGTGATAGTGATAGTGCTTCAGAGGTTTCTGAGCCAATCATCTGGAGACTTGTATACTGCGGAAGAAATTAATGATTTTCTGGATCGTACAAAAGGGCAGAAAGTGGATGTTATGAAGTTTTTTCCTGATGCTGTTACATTTTTGAAGGGTCAGTCATGTATGTTCAGAAAAGTGTAGGTTGTGATGTCCTATCAAAACAAAAAAGATTTCGGTTGAAAAAACTGGCCACAGTAGTTTGGGTTACGGGTGCTGCTCTCATCTATTTTCTTCTCTGTCTGTTTTCTTTCTTGTTATTTCCCCCCCTCTTTAATATGCATATTTTAAGAATCAGTTCTTTAAATGTAAATGGGGCAAGGAATAGAGAAAAACAAGGTTTGTTAAATGAGTTTCTTAAGCTCAAGGATTCACATGTAACTTTTTTACAAGAAACTCATAGTGATGAGGATAATGAGACAGATTGGGGATTGTGTTGGGAGGGCAGTTACTCTTTAAGCCATGGTACGAATCTAAGTGCTGGGGTAGCCATTCTTTTTTCATCTAACCTAAACACGGATATTTTGTCAAAGGTAGAATTAGAAAAAGGTCGCCTTCTTGTTGTTAAGGCAAAAATTGATGAACACAATTTTGTATTTGTTAATATTTATGCCCCAAACAGAAGTGCAGATAGAATAATTCTATTAAAGAAACTGAGTGATTATTTGAAAAGTGTAAATACAGATGACTTTCTAATATTAGGAGGTGACTGGAATAATACAGTTGATTTTACCATGGATAGGAATCATACTGAACCAGATTACGAATCCCCTGCTTTTTTAAAAAATATTCTCATTCAAAATGATTTTTGTTGGACGTTTGGAGAGTGAGGAATGCAAAAGTTAAGCAGTATACTCGGATTAAAGTTTCACAAGAGAGAATAAGTGCAGCTAGATTAGATCGATTTTATGTTTGTAAAAAAACGAATAATAGGATTGTGGCTGCAAATATTGTACCTTGTTGTTTTTCAGACCATCATTTTGTTACGTGTAATTTGACTTTGTCACAGACTCAGTGCAAAAGTCCTTATTGGAAATTGAATGTTCGTTTGTTACAGGAGAAGGACTTTTTCGAGAGATTTAATTTTTTTTGGGAGTCTTGGGTTTCTCAGAAAGGGGAATACGAAAATTTAATTCAGTGGTGGGAATTGGGTAAAACACAAATTAAAATCTTTTGTCAGCAGTTTTCTTCTTTCTCCACCATAAAGACTAAGCAGAAAATCAGTGAATTAGAGAAGGAAATAGCACAAATTACATCTAATATGGTGCAGCAACCAGATACAGTGATGGCTGAGAATTTGTGTGAGAAGAGGGTTTCTCTTAAGTCTCTATTACAAGTGCAAACAAAAGGTGCACTAATAAGGTCACGGTTTTTGTCAGTTAATGACATGGATGCACCAACTGCGTATTTTTTTAAATCTTGAAAAAGTCTCAAAAAAACAGAGTGTGATGCATTGTCTGACATCCCCATATGGGTTTAAAACATCTGACCCAAAAAAGATGAGGAAAATTGCTGTGGACTTTTATTCAGATCTTATATATATATATATATATATTTTCCCCTTTTATTTATTTATTTATTTTATTTTTTATTATTTTTTTCTTCCATTTATTTGAGTTGGAAGGTATTCTTTGAAAGAAGAATTGAGTATTTTAAGTCGATCATGTAAAATAAAATGTAATTTTAAAGTCAAAGTCTCTCTCTCTCTCACACACACACACACACACACACACACACACACACACACACACACACACACACACACACACACACACACACACACACACACAGGTGGTTAATTCCCTGTTTGTCAGTGAAGAGTCTGAGGTGTTTGGTGTCTCACTCCCGCTGCTTTCTTCATCTTCATCATCACTCATGCGTCCGTGCTGATCAAAGCTGCTCTGATGAGAATCTTCCTCATCCTCATGTTGAAGGTCCAGCACACACACTGCAGTCATGTTCCCCTCTCAGACGATGGACTGTTCATGACTCTCCACTGCCACCTGCTGGCCGATCTAAACTAACGCTCGTCTTATAGACCGCTGTCCTGATCTGATCTGATTTAATCGTTCTGAAAATGCACACAGTTCTCCATAATTTCAATAAAGTCTTCAAGAGCACATGTGAAAAAAATACAACTTTATTTATTGAAACTAAAAGCAGTCTGACAGGTGTTGAAGTGTCTTTAAATACGTTAACAAATATTTAGGGTGCATTTCATTTATATTTATATTTGTTCACACTATTTTCAATCAGACAAAACAATATTAAGCTGCTTCAACTGGAACTTTTGAAATACAAATGTTTCTCTTTGGAAACATTTCATAAAATATTTAAAAACATGATTTTGTACAACTGAGGAATGTCTGTCACCAAAGTTTAAGTTTGTATCTTACATTTAGATACTGCACCCGTGTGTGTGTGTGTGTGTGTGTGTGTGTGTGTGAGAGAGAGAGACACTGTGTGTGTGTGTGTGAGAGAGAGAGAGAGAGAGAGAGAGAGTGACAGTGAGAGTGTTGAGGGTGGGTTTTGTTGTGTGTTAAGGCCAGAGAATAAATGCTAGGGAGAAAAACAAGAAAAGGAACAAAAACTATAAATTATAATAAACACAAATTTCAAACAAGAGAAAGGAGAGGAGAGAAGAATCAGTCTTATGGCCCAGTACGCATTTATAAATGAAAAATTAATTTCAGCCCAATCCAACACTGAACATGCAAGAGACCGTTTCTATCCAGAACATGATCTAACAGAGAGAGAGAGAGAGAGAGAGACACCCATACACACCTTCTCTTCAATCTCTTTGATCTGTCTTCTCTGCATGTCAATCTTATCTTCAAGCTCTCTGATCCTCTGAAGATTAATGACAAAGAACCAAAATCGTAATTTACTAATTCTGTCATTCGACACCTGTGTGGCCTATTACCTTTCATGAAAAACAACAAGAGATATTTAGCAGAATGTTGAAGCATACAATAAAAAATGGATGGTGACATCATCATGCACATGGCAGGTAAAGAGCAGCACACACACATGGATCCTGACCTGCTGTGCAGACTGGAGCAGCTCCATGCGTTGTTGTAGCACTAGCGTGTCGGCATGGCGACTCTGCCTCAGAATCTGTCTCCGCACCGCCTCCATGGACTCGGCCAGCTGTGCTCTCTGCCTGTCACTCAAACTCTCGCCCACACAGCTGTCAGGATCCTGCTGGAGGGCGGAGTATAGAGTCGCCTCCAGCTCCTGCACCCTCTAAACACCACACACACATCTCATCAGTTTGGACAGTTCCCGCGCGCTGCATCAAGGACTCTTTGGGAACGGCCCTGCGTGATTGCGTCTGAAGCATGTAGGTCGACTAGTCCAATGGCGAGAGTGAACGTCACGACCAGGAAAGGATAAAAGCACATCTGGTCATCAGAGTCTTTCAATCGACCATCTCAACCTTCACCTCCTGACCCTTGCAGTGGTGGCTCAGGGACCCAGGGGGAACAAAATCACACAGGTGTGTCTCTGCACCTTGATTATATGGAGGAAACCTTGGTTCCTCTCCCAGGGTCCAGTGTTAGGAGTTCAGTGTAACACAGTCTCATCACAAGACGCTTTTGACCATAGGTCACCATCCGATGTTTAGGGTCGACCCTTTAACGTCAGTTAGATGACGATCCTGGGGCGTCTTTCAACTGAGGATTTACCTTTAATGTCGTTAGATGACGCGGGTAGGTTTAGGTCTGGGGTAGGGTTAGGATTAGATAGCGTCATCTAACTGACGTTAATGAGTAGACGTCGAATGTGGTCGTATGGTCAAAAGCGTCAGTTGTATGACGTTTTGGGATGAGACTGCGCTGTTCAGTGTCATCGAGTTACTCTCACGACAGATGCTTCTCTCACAGGTTGGGGAGAGGTGATGGAAGGCCGCTCAGCTCACGGTCTGTGGAGGAATCATCATCTTTCTTGGCACATAAATGGCCTGGAGATCATGGCGGTCTTTAATGCGGTGAGGCACTTCTTTCCAGACCTTAGGGGCCATCATGTGCTCATCCGTTCAGTCAACACATCAGTGGTCTATTAAATAAATCATCGGGTCTATGCTCGCGCCCAATATGCAAACTGGCGCACGAGATCCTCCTGTGGTCCCTAGGGAAGATGCTCTCCCTGAGGGCAGAGAATATCCGGGTTGCCAGAATATAGGAGCAGACCTCCTGTCGAGGCCCAGGGATTGGAGACTACTCCCCGAGATGGAGGAGCATATATGGGAAGTTTACGGCCAAGCCAAAGTGGATCCGTTTGCGTCTCAGGACACGATGCACTGTCCACTTTGGTTCTCCCTCACACAGAGGCTATGTCTATACACATTCCCAGTTGCTCTGTTCCCTGGAGTTCTGGAGAAAGTCCGCCGAGGAGTAGCACCACACTGGCCTAGCCGAATTTGGCTCAGACGGGGGCACAATCCTTCACCCCCGTGCAGAGATATGGAACTTGTGGGTTTGGCCTCAGAGGGGCTCAACTCATAGATGCTGGTCTCTTAATGGAGGTTGTAGAGACCATACTTCACTCCAGAGCTCTAGCCACGAGGAAACTATATGCATTGAAGTGAAAGATTTTCAATCAGCATCAGTGGGATCCAGGTAACCTCCAAATTGGTTCAGTGCTTGAATTCTTGCAAGATCACATTTCAGCAAGTCTATCTCCCTCTACCCTAAAGGTTTACGTGGCGGCCATTGCGGCCTACCACACCCCGGCGGGTAATGCATCTATTGCGAGGGACCCTCTGATAATTCATTTCCTTCGTGGTACACTGAGGCTGAGTACCACCACTAAACATTAAACATTTAAATCACATAAACTAACAACTGGACACACCTGATGGGATGTTACAACACAAAAATAAACAAAATGGCTACAAACATACAACCAGTTTGCGTGTATGTGTACTGGTGAAAACAGTTTGTTGTGTGACAAACCCATACTCAATCCCTTCAAAATGAAAGTCTTGGGTCACAGTCAGTCTGTGACAGACCTTTTGGCCCTTTGGGTCTCTCCCACCTGCCTTCGCACCGGGGATGGTCAAGGCACAGCCTAAACAGGGCTAAGACCCTAAAGTTCCGACCTATATACCGGTAGGGAACGAGACCCTGCGTCACTTTGCCATACTTCCTGCATCCGCCAGTCAGACCCGATGTGCTTTCCTGGTCATGACATCACCCGTCCTTGACGTTCACTCTCACCATTGGACTAGTTGACATACGTGCCTAAGATGCATTCATGCAGGGGTTCCCAAAGTGTCATAGACCCAGCGTCCCATTTCCTTCTCAGAGAACTTGTGTTACAGTCGTAATCTGAGTCGATTTCATTTCTTAAATGTTTTACATCTTACAATCTGTTGATCAATCCGAGCAAACTGGCACTTGCCACAAATATGATGAAAAATGATGTCCTGTCACTTTTTAATTAAATAAAGGCATTAATCTATAATGTAACTGTATATTATATTGGCCTGTCTCATCTCACTGCGTTTACTGTGTTGAACGAAGGATTCACTTTTCGTCATTTCTAAAAGTAGTACTACATATGCTTTTACTTTCTTGACAACTGTTTTTATGAGGCTTAACTGTGGTACTGTAGGCCAACAACATTTCTTCTACAGACAAAATAACTGAATAAAATGGACTCAAGGTAGAGTTGTTGATTACACAATCTCATGGTCCTACCAGTTGGGCATGATCAAGAGCTTGCTTCCTGTAGTCCAGTTCCTCTTCCAGGAACCCTTTCTGTTTACTGAACAGCTCCTGTTGATCACATCAAGACAGCATCACACACCTTCATCGACTGTCATCAAGCCTCATCTATCACTGTTAGAACAAACAGCACAACACACTCATCTCTGACCTTCTCATTCTCCAGATCAATCATTTTCTGCGTCAGCGCAGCTTCGGTGCTGTCGATCTGCTTCAGCCACTGGGCAAAAAGACAAAGCAATTCAACAGAGCTACAGACAAAATAAAAGCCCCATCATCTTTGAGGATTTAAAGAATGAAGGGCATGATACCTTCTCACATAAAGACAGCACAGTGCCGGCTTGAATTACTGTCACCTGCTCCTCGTTTCGCAAGTTCTGTCAGCGAGAAGTGAAAAGTTCATTTTAGCTCTCGATTGTGAGAACACAGGAGTAACACATGCACGTATTAAATATGGTTCTTACCCCATTATCGCCAAGAATGTCGAGCTTTTTCATGAGGTCAGGAATGATGACATCCTAAAGCAAACACATGTGAAGATGAGGCCATCGTACAGTACTCTATCATACAGTACATGTGTGCAAATGTATGCAGGTGTAAAATTTCATCAAACATTACTTCCTCTTCTTGGGCTTGGCCATGTTACATTTTTCCATGTTATAAACTCCACGTTCTCCATGTTATAAACTTTACTTTTTTGAGGTAAGTTCAAATGTAGTACCTACTCAGATAGTTAGCGATTTCGGATGTAGAGTGTGAATTTTTGGGCATGATTTTAAATGACGATTGTTTACAACCACCACATTTTTCAACATCTGATCATTCATATGAGGGGATTGGCTGAGTACAAATGTTTGATGATGTTTGATGAACCCAGTCGTAAGATGATTTCTGCAACCATTTCTATGTTAGATTGATAAATGTGGCTTATTGTTTCTATTTTCGTATATTTTAAATAAAACATCTTGACTTTAGTCATTTTGGCATTAAATGGTTATATATGCCAGTATGTGTGTAAGTGTGTGTGCGTGTACAGGTGTGTTTTTACCTTGACACCCTCTTGTTGGCAGTGTAGCTGTAGGATACTGTTGTTTTCAGAGGCAGAGATTTGCAGGTTAAAGGCAGGAGAACGCCGTTCCCTCTCCTGTTGGTTAAAAGAATAACTGGTGGTGAAATATACAGAGAAAACTTCTTTCGGGAATAATCATATCTGTAGAGAAACTGTTGTTTTAAAGGGATAGTTCACTCAAAATTCTAATTCTGGAATTGTTCAACCAAAAATAAACATTCCCTTTTAAGAGAACTTGCGTTTCATCGAGATGACGCTGTAGGAACTCTCTGTGTGATTGCGTCGTGAAATCAGTCCAATGGCGTATAGGCGGGTGAAGCTATAAAGCGCACCCAGACCAAACATTGTCAGCTTCCGTGTCTTCAGCGAGCGCTCTGTGTGAAACTCTCTCTGTCCATTTATTGTTGTTTGTCCACAAGCATATTATATATCTAGACAGGAGTATGGAGGTCCTATCCACCGGGGTGAGTCCCGAACAGGAGGAAGGGGCCATAGATCATGTACCTCCCTCCAACAGGGGAACCGGGTTCTACAGTCCTAGTTGAATAACTAGTTGAGTTTTAATTTTGTTTGTTTGTGTTAAAAGGTGAACTTTGCTGAAATGTGTTGCTTTAGAAATCATGCTTTGCTCGCTGTTGCTGCTGTCAGTTTATTGACAAGCAGTTTCGCTAAATAAAGCTGGCTAGCGTTGTTATTTAGTCTCTCCTGATAGAATCCCTTTCGTTTCTCTTCTTTCTCCATATCTTCCAAAGAAACTGCAGTTTATCGCTAAAATGTAAACAAATACTAAGCCACACTGTCTCTCTCTGTCGCTATTTCTGGAATGTTTGATTGCGCCTCTGTGAAGTTCTGAAGGCGTCGCCTCTGGCAACCGATGGCGTCTCCTACAATCATGGCCGACCGGCTCAGACCCAAAAATTAACCCAAATTGGCACGTGACTCATTTACATTTACTAATTTAGCTGACTCTTTCATCCGACTCTTCACTCTCAAAATCAACCTGCAATAGAGTTCGGTCTCATCAACGTTACTGCGAAACAGTCAGACTCCTTACCTGAACACTCACCTGAGATCGTCCTGTCTCCTGTCCGTCATCCAGATCTCCACAGTTTCTACTTCAGTCATTGCCAGCTAAGTCTTCATCACCTATCATCAAGTCACTAGTAGTGATGGGAAGTCTGGCTCTTTTCAAAGATTCGGGTCTTTTGGCTCAGCTCCTTTAGAAGAGCCGGCTCTTTCGGCTCACAAATGGCTCTTCATTTAGTATCATTTTTTTATTCAGTGTTTTAATAAAAGCTTTATTTGTTTTGTCAATTTTTTCTGTTATAAAAAAAAGTTGCTATTATTTAACACTTCAATAAAAATTCAATATCAGATGCCTCAGCTTGGATGGGCTGATGTGAAATGCAGTCATTGAAATGCAGCTAGATGATGCTTTTTCAATTTTCGTTCATTTCTTCACTTTCTCCCAATGCGCTTGTATTTAAATCCGGCTCCTCCGCCTCTCTCTGTCACTCCATGTACATGGCCTGTACCACTACAAAAGACCAGACCACAAAGAAACTCAGGATGGGCTTCCTCCTCACCCCGGGGAACCCAGTTAACTAACTTCTCACCGCTTTCAAGATGATCAGCCGATCAAGGACTATGTAGAACAGTTCCTTGAAGTACTCTGGAACGAGGACACACTATAGACCGTCTTTTGGCGTGAATTAGACGATCACCTGTATCAGCAAGTTCCTGCATCTGCAACAACAGGTTCCTTGAAGAGGTACTTCGAAGACGTTCAACGGTTATGTGGATCGCCTTCTACGATAGAGGAAGCCATTTCAGAGTCTCCTCTTACCGAGACCACCCTTCCAGATCTCCTCGCAAGATGGCCACCGCCGTTCCAGAGCCTGATCGCAAGATGGCCGCCGCTATTCCAGAGCCTCATTCCAAGATCTCCGCCACCACGCCTCCTGAGCCCTCAGTCAAGATGGCCAACACCAGACCTCTGTCCCTAGCCTGCCCTCCAGTCCCCTCTTCCAGAACCCTGAACTCCCACCCAACCTCCCTCTCCCATCTTTCAGCCCTCATCATCTTCACTGCCCACTGATAGTCCCACATCTCACCCCCAAAAAACCTTTGGAGAGGTGGCCTCACTGTGGGACTATAAGCCCTCGTGGTCAGGGGATCCCTGGGTTTCCATGATTCTACGTCGGCCCATCGGTCAACTGACTCAGCCTTGGCTCCTACCTCCCTCATCTCCAACATGGCCCATCAGTGCTCCACCAGGCACCCTCGTCCCGCCGGATCCGCCATGGTCGTTCGTCGACCTGCCCTCACCTCTGGAGTGCACTCCTCTGCATCCCTTCATCCCCCCGACTCCATTGGACTCCTCACTCCATTCAGCTCCTCCCTGGTTCTCTGTCCCTCTGTCTCCGCCACGCCCTTCACCTCCATTACCAGAGCCAGCCTCCACATGTCCCTCTGAATCCTCAGTTTCACCATGACCAGTCAGACCTCCGTCTCCACCCTGTCATCCTCTCCCACCGGTTCCACCTCCATCACTTGCCGCCCTGAAGTCCTCAGGCAACTCTGTATGCTGTCTGCACTACACTTCCCAGCATCCCTTCTGCACTCCGTCAGCCATCACCACACCTGCTGCTGATCATCACCAGATTCTGATTCCCTGCTCCTGCACTCCCTCATCAACACAGCCCATATCAACCTGCCTCACATCGGGGTCCGGTCTCGTCAACGTTACTGCTACGTACACAGTCAGACTCCTTACCTGAACACTCACCTGAGATCGTCCCGTCTCCTGTCTGCCATCCAGATCTCCAGTCATGTTCATCCTTCACCGGCACGGTTTCCACTTCAGTCATCGCCAGCTAAGTCTTCATCACCTATCATCAAGTCAACAACCTTTCACCATCGTCTGGTCCCCGCTGTTGCCCCATATTGAATAAACCATTCACCGTACCATCTGTCTGTTCCCTTCTGTGTGACCGCACGAGGGTTATGGTGATATATTTGGGAAGAATCCGAACAGTTTATTATATCACACCAAACACAATCAAACAACATTACGGACCAGAATGTGTGCAGATCCTATAAATATTATCGAGTATTGTAGGCTCTGTGAGACTGCTTATGTTTCTCTGTAAGTCACTTTTGGATAAATGCATAAATAAATGTAAAAGTAACTGCTGACTCCATTATCACTACCCCACATGAACTATCTATGATTAAAAGAGCCACAGAATGTCTTAAAACACGAAGAATAGAAATTGTGATATGATGCTGAAAGACAAATGAAGGTATTCTGAAAATCGTTTCCTCAATAAAAGAAAAAGCAATGCTCTTAGGTCACACGGGTTCGGGATGATGTGAGGGTGATGATGAGAGATTGTTAATTCTTGGTTGAACGATCCCTTCGAGCGCACTAATATAATCAGATGTTTCAGCTGAAATACTGATAAAGAATAGCATGTCATTTGTGCAGTTAGCCAGTGTTTGTTCACTCAATGGTTTGCAGTAATTGTAAGTAAAGTGCTCTTTCTTCTTACTGTATGGGGTGACCCGGACACACACTAACACGGGGCTAGTTGTCACACACATGCTTTAAAACTTTCCACACATGCCAGCATGACTTAGTTTATTTATAAGTTACCATATTAAAACTATATATATATATTTTTTTTTTACCAAAAACACTGAACATTTATTTAACCATAGCAAAAGTACATTTCTTGCATTGTTAATTTTTCATGTTTTCATGAGACTAATCTGATATCATAATCTTATATCTGTTATTTAACAGTTGAGATAGTTGTGTAATGCTGATCCCAGTTGGACAGACGGGGCATGTTGTCACACTGCGTTACAATGAGCCCCTATTAGAACTATTCTGTTATATAGTTATATTATATATAAACAAATTTAATAATTGTATTTAATTGACAAAATATTTTAGTTTGTCTTGTACATTTTTTTGATTAGATAACATATCATAACCCCCAAACATGGGGCATGTTGTCACATTTCACTTCTTGTTTTAGGGTAAATCGAGAAAAAATATATACACTGTATTAATGAAACAAAACCACATAATTGTACTAGACATGTGTGAAATTAATGTGGGACAAAATTGATTCACTAAACCCCAACTGGATCTACACAACCTGAGAAGGTCAGCAAGTGTTAGTTTGTGCCCGCTCTCCTCGACTGTACGTTTGATTGAATGACATTCTCACAAATAACAATCCATAACATTCACATGTATGATATATGCACATTTCACAAAAGATGCATGACATTACTAAAGCATACAAAAACAGTACATACTTTGGGATGATGATGTGCACAATGAAATTTGACATAACCATGAAATAATAGTGAATTTGTGCAGGTTTGACATCACACACACACACACACACACACACACACACAAATAAAACACAACATGCGGGAGGTGCAGTCAAAAAGAAAAAGATGGTGAGGAGTTTCATTCAAATAACTTTTATTCCATCGAAACGTATATATTTAACAAAACAATGGTGACATAAATATACAGTTTTGAAAACATGAGCACATTCAGAGTGTGTGTGAGGACTGGTGTGTGTAGACGTGAGCCGGACACCGAACACACTCTCTTACTTCCAGCTCCAGGATCCTGAACTCCAGCAGCTCGTTCTGATCCAGCGTATCTCGAACCTCTGAGCGTAACCGCGTCTCACACTGCTCCAGCGATGCTATCTACCACACACACACACACACACACATACACGTCTATATTACTAAAAGGGGACTATCGCTCTACACTGGCCAAGAGGGGACTAGTGTTTCTGGTCATTTTGAAGAAACAAAAATGACGTACAAAATTCTCTTTTAAGGTCTTTTTTCATAATATGACTTTAAATATGCATTTTTTTATTTTTAAAAAAACATGCCAAGTGGGGACCTGAAACTCTGGCCGATGTCTACCTTACCAACAGGGGACTCATATAGCCTGCAATTGAACTGTGTGTCTGTGTGAACAGTGAAGTGAACTGGCAGTGAAATCTTGTCTTCATTTTGTAACTTATACATACTTATACACATATATGTGTGTGTGTGTGGGTGTGTCATTATATAATGCTCAAACATATACATGTCTATATTGCTACACAGCAGTGTCGCTGTACACTGGGGAAGAGGGGACATTCTGAATGATATCTATCCAACCAAGTGGGGACTTTGTGTGTGTGTGTGAACTGGCAGTGAAATCTTTCTTCATTACGCTTACATTATATATATATATATATATATACACACTACCGGTCAAAAGTTTTAGATCAGTAAGTTTTTTGCTCACCAAGGCTGCTTTTTTTGATAAAAAAAATGACAAACAGTAATATTGTGAAATATTATGACAATTTAAAATGACTGTTTTCTATTTTAATATATTTTAAAATGTAATTTGAAAGCTGAATTTTCAACACCATTACTGTTGCTGATTACACATCAGTTTTCAGTGTCACATGATCCTTTTGATCAATTTAACTCATCCTTGATGAATTAAAGTATTTTCGAATTTCTTTCCTCCAAAAATAAAAAATAAATAAATTCTTACTGGCCCCAAACTTTTGAATGGTAGTGATTAATGTTACAAAATATTTCCATTTCAGATTAATTCTGTTCTTTTTAACTTTCTATTCATCTACGAATCCTGCAATAAAAATGTAAAAAACTGTTTTCAACATGGATAATAATCATAAATGTTTCTTGAGCATCATATTATAATAATTTCTGTAGGATCATGTGACAATGAAGACTGAAATAATGATGATAAATTCAGCTTTGATCACAGGAATAAATTACACTTCACTATATATTCACATAAAAAAACCGCTGTTTTAAATTGTAATAATATTTCACAATATTACCGTTTTTTTAATCAAATAATTGCAGCCTTGGTGAGCAGAAGAGACTTCTTAAAAAACATAAACAATCTTACCGATCTAAAACTATATATTTCTATACTACTAACAGCAGTGTCGCTGTACACTGGCAAAGAGGGGACATTCTGAACGATATCTATCCAACCAAGTGGGGACTTTGTGTGTGTGTGTGAACTGGCAGTGAAATCTTTCTTAATTCCGCTTACATTATATATCTATTATATACATTATATATATATATATATATATATATATATATATATAGATATATATATATATAGATATATATATATATATATATTTATATATATATTTATATATATATATATATATATATATAATATATTCACATAGAAAAACGCTGTTTTAAATTGTATTAATATTTCACAATATTACTGTTTTTTTTAAAAAAATAATTGCAGCCTTGGTGAGCAGAAGAGACTTCTTAAAAAACATAAACAATCTTACCGATCTAAAACTATATATTTCTATACTACTAACAGCAGTGTCGCTGTACACTGGCAAAGAGGGGACATTCTGAATGATATCTATCCAACCAAGTGGGGACTTTGTGTGTGTGTGTGAACTGGCAGTGAAATCTTTCTTAATTACGCTTACATTATATATCTATTATATACATTATATATATATATATATATATATATATATATATATATATATGAAGAGTTCAGATGCAAAAGCCTCTAAGTGCCGTTGGAAATATTCTTCAAAAATGATCATTTTTTATCAAGCTTATATATTCAAGTTCAGTAATTTCACTTAAATTACAATTAATAGGTAATCCTCATTGTTATTTAAGTGAAAGTACTGAATTTAAATATACAAGCTTGAAAAAAATGATCATTCTAGAAGAAAATTTCAAATGGCACTTAGAGGCTTTTGCATCTGAACTCTTCATATATATATATATATATATAATATATTCACATAGAAAAACGCTGTTTTAAATTGTAATAATATTTCACAATATTACTGTTTTTTTATCAAATAATTGCAGCCTTGGTGAGCAGAAGAGACTTCTTTTAAAAACATAAACAATCTTACCGATCTAAAACTATATATTTCTATACTACTAACAGCAGTGTCGCTGTACACTGGCAAAGAGGGGACATTCTGAATGATATCTATCCAACCAAGTGGGGACTTTGTGTGTGTGTGTGAACTGGCAGTGAAATCTTTCTTAATTACGCTTACATTATATATCTATTATATACATTATATATATATATATATATTTATATATATATATATATATATATATATATAATATATTCACATAGAAAAACGCTGTTTTAAATTGTAATAATATTTCACAATATTACTGTTTTTTTTATCAAATAATTGCAGCCTTGGTGAGCAGAAGAGACTTCTTAAAAAACATAAACAATCTTACCGATCTAAAACTATATATTTATATATTACTAACACAGCAGTGTCGCTCCACACTGGGGAAGAGGGGACATTCTGAACGATATCTATCCAACCAAGTGGGGACTTTGTGTGTGTGAACTGGCAGTGAAATATGTCTTCATTACAGTTAAATTATATATCTATTATATACATTATGCATATATATATACTATTTTTCTTATTTAACGCTCTCTCTTCATATACTTTCTATGCTTTGTTATGCAGTCCCTAACAATTTACTTGCCATATGTGCCATTGCACATACACGTCTATATTACTAACATATACATGTATTAACACAGAAGTGTCGCTGCACACTAGCCAAGAGGGAACTTTCTGAATGATATCTATCCAACCAAGTGGGGACTTTGTGTGTGTGTGTGAACTGGCAGTGAAATCTTTCTTAATTACGCTTACATTATATATCTATTATATACATATATATATATATATATATATATATATATATATATATATATATAAAATATTCACATAGAAAAACGCTGTTTTAAATTGTAGTAATATTTCACAATATTACTGTTTTTTTAATCAAATAATTGCAGCCTTCGTGAGCAGAAGAGACTTCTTTTAAAAACATAAACAATCTTACCGATCTAAAACTATATATTTCTATACTACTAACAGCAGTGTCGCTGTACACTGGCAAAGAGGGGACATTCTGAATGATATCTATCCAACCAAGTGGGGACTTTGTGTGTGTGTGAACTGGCAGTGAAATCTTTCTTAATTCCGCTTACATTATATATCTATTATATACATTATATATATATATATATATATATATATATATATATGAAGAGTTCAGATGCAAAAGCCTCTAAGTGCCGTTGGAAATATTCTTCAAAAATGATCATTTTTTATCAAACTTATATATTCAAGTTCAGTAATTTCACTTAAATGACAATTAATAGGTAACCTTCATTGTAATTTAAGTGAAAGTACTGAATTTAAATATACAAGCTTAAAAAAAATGATCATTCTAGAAGAAAATTTCAAATGGCATTTAGAGGCTTTTGCATCTGAACTCTTTATATATATATATATATATATATATATATATATATAATATATTCACATAGAAAAACGCTGTTTTAAATTGTAATAATATTTCACAATATTACTGTTTTTTTAATCAAATAATTGCAGCCTTGGTGAGCAGAAGAGACTTCTTTTAAAAACATAAACAATCTTACCGATCTAAAACTATATATTTCTATACTACTAACAGCAGTGTCGCTGTACACTGGCAAAGAGGGGACATTCTGAATGATATCTATCCAACCAAGTGGGGACTTTGTGTGTGTGTGTGAACTGGCAGTGAAATCTTTCTTAATTACGCTTACATTATATATCTATTATATACATTTATATATATATATATTATATATATATGAAGAGTTCAGATGCAAAAGCCTCTAAGTGCCGTTGGAAATATTCTTCAAAAATGATCATTTTTTTATCAAGCTTATATATTCAAGTTCAGTAATTTCACTTAAATTACAATTAATAGGTAATCCTCATTGTTATTTAAGTGAAAGTACTGAATTTAAATATACAAGCTTGAAAAAAATGATCATTCTAGAAGAAAATTTCAAATGGCACTTAGAGGCTTTTGCATCTGAACTCTTCATATATATATATATATATATATATATATATATATATATAATATATTCACATAGAAAAACGCTGTTTTAAATTGTAATAATATTTCACAATATTACTGTTTTTTTTTTATCAAATAATTGCAGCCTTGGTGAGCAGAAGAGACTTCTTAAAAAACATAAACAATCTTACCGATCTAAAACTATATATTTCTATACTACTAACAGCAGTGTCGCTGTACACTGGCAAAGAGGGGACATTCTGAATGATATCTATCCAACCAAGTGGGGACTTTGTGTGTGTGTGTGAACTGGCAGTGAAATCTTTCTTAATTACGCTTACATTATATATCTATTATATACATTATATATATATATATATATATATATATATATATATATATATATATAAAATATATTCACATAGAAAAACGCTGTTTTAAATTGTAATAATATTTCACAATATTACTGTTTTTTTTATCAAATAATTGCAGCCTTGGTGAGCAGAAGAGACTTCTTTTAAAAACATAAACAATCTTACCAATCTAAAACTATATATTTATATATTACTAACACAGCAGTGTCGCTCCACACTGGGGAAGAGGGGACATTCTGAACGATATCTATCCAACCAAGTGGGGACTTTGTGTGTGTGAACTGGCAGTGAAATATGTCTTCATTACAGTTAAATTATATATCTATTATATACATTATGTATATATATATACTATTTTTCTTATTTAACGCTCTCTCTTCATATACTTTCTATGCTTTGTTATGCAGTCCCTAACAATTTACTTGCCATAGTTACCCAGCAAACACAGAACGTTCCCCTAATGTTCCCGAATGGTCCCATGAGGTTATTTTTTTGAGAACCAAACAAGGACGTTATAGGAACATTCTATGTAGGTTATTTTTAGGTTCCATTTTTATAATCTAAGGAGAATGTTCCGGGAATGTTCCCTTAACCTTAAGGGAAAGTTCTAGGAACGTTCTGAGAACCAAAAACTAACGTTCCCAAAACGTTCCCAGAACCTAAATTTGTTTGCTGGGTATGTGCCATTGCACACACACGTCTATATTACTAACATATACATGTATTAACACAGAAGTGTCGCTGCACACTAGCCAAGAGGGAACTTTCTGAATGATATCTATCCAACCAAGTGGGGACTTTGTGTGTGT